AACAAGTCACGAACCAAGGCGATACAGCACGCCAAGGTCCAACAAAGAGCATGCACACTCATTGCACTCACGCGTTCGCAACTAGGCACACAAGCACACATGCATTCATAGCACATGCAGATTACTAAAACTTAAATAAAAATATAAGAAAGACTTTAAAATTAAATTTTCAGAAAAGAATAGGGAACACTCACCCGGCGTGCCTTGACCCTGACTTATAATAGGCACAGCTTTACTACCCTAAGGTCTAGCTTGAGAACATACCACACCCAGCAAAGCAAACAAAAAATCACATGACAAAAGAGTTTAGTCCGACTAGGAAGGAAGCTAACAGAATAGTCTATTAGGTTATGATTCTGAATTTTCAGCATTAGCAGACTGACAACGGATCAAATGCAGAGCCTACTTATGATCAAACCATTAGCACTTTCAGCGAGCCATTAAAATAGAGCTATATTATGATCTATGACGAGAAGTATCAGCAAAAGAGATCAGTGAAAAGGTGCAAAAAATTATATGAATCAAATCTCCTACAACAATGCATTACACAGATTTTCATATTAGCATTTTCAGATTTTATATCACACTCAAACCAAATTCCTAGACGAACTATAACTCCTTTTCATGAACCGCAAAAACTGAAATAAACTACTCCAAACATAGGAGACATTCATACAAAGAAATCTCAGAAAACAACTCAAAATATAGGTGTAGTTAACCCCTAAACCGAAACTCACAAACTGGATTTTTCAGATTTTCCAATCAGCAACATGTCATGTTTCAAGGTCATTCATAGACAAACAGCTATAACAAGCCATTACAATGGTGGTAAACTATGTTAAATAAAGATAAGTTTCACAAAAGAAATCCGAGAATAAGATTTAGAAATCAAGATAACAAAGTCTCCTAAAACAGACGTCAGATCAGATTTCTAGGCCAAAGTGTTCTGATTTGATGTCAATTTCAAATCTAGTTTTAAGAAAATCTACAACTCCGATTTGAAATCCGTAAAAACTAGGTTACACTACACTGAATGAAGAAGATTCCTATATAAAGAAATTCAGGAAAAGGATTTAAAACCTAAGAGAAACAGGCCTGCTAACGGAAGAAATCTGTTCTAGCTTTTCTGCTTTTTCACCAGTGAACATGTCATGTTAAAATCAACTTTTAGGACGATTTACAAATCCATTTAGCAAGCCGTAAAAAACCTGAATATACTACACTGGAAGAAGGGAATCATGAAAAGAAGTCCCGAAAAATAATTCCAGAGATATGAGAAAATAGCCTCTCAACAGAGGGCTGCGAATGAGAATTCCTGCGGCTCCAAAGGCAATAATCCTACTCTAAGCTCTAAGTAGAATTTCAAGGGATTCACATAGCCCTTTAATGAAACATAGACTCCAGAATAAATTCATGTGTACCTTAAAGGTTTTTACATTAAAATTACGAATATACAGACAAAAGACATAAGAATTAAATTCTTTAAGTTAGGAACTCAAATCTGAATTTTTGATTTGATGAGACAGACTTTGTACCAAGGTTGTTCCTCCCCTTTTCCTTCACTTCCTAACTCAAAACTTAAATATCAGAATCATCAAATAATAATTTCTAAATATCCAAAACCAAGCCTAATCAACGAAGCATAATATACAATCAGGAAAGAAAACAAAAGCTCCGTTTCACCGAGAGCTTTCAAACCATCAAACAACTCCGAGGTACTTTGCTTTCTATTTCATATAAATAATCCAACATCCAAATCGAATTAACACCCAAAACGAAGAAGAAACATCTTCAACATAACCTAACTCTTATAATTTAATTTGAAAGTTTCAATTGAAGGTGACTAGCATATTACCTCGATCAATTCCAAAGTTGGAGCTCGCTTTCTTCCTCAATCTGAGTTCTAATCTCTAAACCCTAAGGTTCTGAATTTTCCATTCTCTTGCTTCTATTTTCCTTCCTATCTTCGGCAAACAAACTTGCTTTGGCTCCCTAGCTGATTCTCTCACTTCCCCCTTCGATTCTAATTTCCAAGGACATAGTATGGATATAGATAATTGGAGGGAGATGGTCGGGTGGGTGGCGTTTGCTGGACACAAGAAAGAAATACAGAAGTTAAAAGAAGGAAGGAGAAAGGGGAAGAAGATGACCGATGGTGGTGGGGCTTTGGATTAATTCTATGGTCAATCATAAGTTTTTAACTAAACCGTTCACTTTAAATCTATCCAATAAAAGTAAGACATACAATATATGACTATGGGCTTTACAACACTGTAACGAAACTTCATTAATTTTTTATTAGCTAATTAGATAAGTTACTGATTTTCTTTTAAACTTTTTTTAATGAAATTAAAGACAAAAAGAAATTCAATTAAATTTTCAAGGCTTGCTTGTTTTCTAATTAATCTCCTCGCTCAATTAATTTTCATTCCAATGTTCTATTAGGAGAATGTTGATTTTCTTTCTTGTCTACACCTCTATTTCCACCATTATTATTTATTTTCACATTTTTCACCTTCATCTTATTGTTGACTCAGCGCATTCATCTGATGAACATTCTCCCTTAATTAGAAACCACATCTCATTCTCTTCATCGTCATCAAGAAGACAGTCCCCATCCTCCTCCAACTTGATGATAAATTGCTGCAGGTTATTGAAAGCCTCAAGCCCTTTGACCATTTGTTGCTTTTCATCCTTGTTATTACTTTTTTTTTTTTGAAAATGATTATTACTCTTGTTATTCTTCAAATAATTAGACATTTTTTCTTCTGGTTTTGCTTTTTTTATTAGACTTTGCGGCCATTTTCTCATAAAAAATATACAAATTACTACTCAAATGAATCCATCCTCCGGAACTTACATATTCTTTCCTTGCCACGTCAAATCATGTACAACAAAGGAATTAGGGGGTAATGCAAAATCCAGTCAACAATAGCCTCTAAATTCTAATTCACTTAGGAGTAGATTAACTCAAAGATGGTTGTTTATCCCTACTATTTGCTCACCCTGACACAACCATACTTTTGGAGAGTTACACAATGGATACCAGATTTAGTAAGAACAAAAAAGAGATGCGTCACATCAGCGGCGAACATGGGTCTATCGAAAAGCAACGGAACCATCTCGGAGGTTACCGTAACAGTGGAGTCGCATGCACCACCATATGATCCTCTTCGACAAGTAGCAAAAACCAGCCGGTCGCTATTGAGCCTAATCATATTTCCAAAAATGCAGAGAAGAAAATCAAATTAGCTGGCGGTGCTGTCTTTCTTGTGCATTTTGCCCAAACTGCAATTTTTATTATAGCAACAAAAAAATATTTCGTTTATTTCTGTTTGAATGTTTGAATTTTGTTTCAATGGAACCTCTATTAGAGAAGAAATAATAAAGATTTTTCTTTGCGCAAACGAAAAAAAAACTTTCGATGAGAGAATGATACGGGTAAAAAATTATGAAACAATTTTTTAACGTGAGTAGCTCAACCGAATTGATAATTTACTAGAAGTAGTGTAATTTTCATGTGTGGTGTGGACTTTTTAAATTTTAAAACACCTCATTTTAATCTAATTATCAGGTGTGGTTGTCAAAACACCTCATTTTAATTGGACCATTTAGTCGACTGGACTGTAATGCTCCATATATATATATATATATATATATATATTTAAAAATGCAATATAGTATAGTTGATAAGAAATTCTGGGATAGGAATGAAAGTTTGGGCAGATTTATCTGTAAGCAAAAGGCTTTAGTTTCTCAAAGATAACAAATGGACAAATCGTGGCTTTCTAGTTCATTCTTCCCAGCCTTCAATTGATTAAAACTAGTTCCTAAACAACTAACCTAGGCTGGTTATTTGGTTTGTTAGATAAATTGATTCAAATCATTTTGCATTTTGATTCAGGCTAATTATAAAAGATTAAGAGTTACTTTCAAAAAGAACTAAAAGAATTCGGTGACTAAATATACATTTACCCTAGAGATTTTTTTTTTTTTAATAAAAAAATCCGAATAGTTGTTTTGTTATGCTGTTTTTGTTTTATTTTTTTTTCATATATCTCAATGGCTAAATATGAATACATCTGGAATTAAAAATATTAGTTTATGCACAAAACCACAATGCTTGTTAAGCAAAGAGGTCCCACTACTTGGGACCTCACAAAAATGACTAAAAATCTAAGATAGTTATCTATATTTTAAATAACAAAATTCATAAATTGAATTTACAATATATACACCAAACGTCTTTATATTTTTTAAAGTATAAAGACAAAAAGCATTCCGAACTATATTTATATTACTTAATACCAAATAATCATATTATCATTGTCAGTGTCTGTAACTAAAATAATTAGCTCATATATTCATCAAATAGATATTATGAAAATTTACAAATTTAAATAGAAAATTTATAATGCTCCGAGATTTTAATATCAATTGCAAAAATTATAAAATTTTGTTGTCAAATAAAAAAGTATTAGCGGAAATGGTAGGAATTTCCGAATTTGTGGGTTAAAATAAAACCGAGTAATAATTTAATTATTACTCCCTCCGTCCCATAATTATTGTCCACTTTGCCCAAAAAATTTTGTCCCAAAATTATTGTCCAATTTGACTTTTTATGGATCAAATTACACATTTGTCCTTAGTAGAAAACATTATCCATAAAATCTTAGTTGTTAAACAATTACTTATGTAGGAGTATATCCGGTTATTTAAGGTAAAATATAGTTAAATTTGACCAAAAATAAAATCTTTCATTTTAGTAAAATTGGACAATAATTATGGGACAGAAGGAGTATTAAATTTGTCAAGAGGGTTGTGATTTTTTTAAAAAAATTCAAAGGGCATACAGAATTTGGGCTTAGTTTGGAACTCTTTCTCATTTTTAATAATAATAATACTTACTATTACTAATAATAACCATCATCACCACCTTAAAAGGAAATTGATGTTATTTTACTCCACCAACCGTCAGAAGGTTAAATTGTTTATTATAAGGCAATTTAGGGGTTGGTTGTCCTTTTAATAAAGGTGAAATTGCCACTCAAGTATCTTAAACCCCTAGCTCCTCGTAAAACATACTCCTTCGGTCCCAAAATTATTGTTGAGATTTCATTTTTAGTACAATTTGAACTAAAAATGAAAACCCAAACTGGACAATAATTATAGACTGGAGGGAGTATTATAATCAAATTTTCATTTGAGTTTTTCCTTTCCACACTGTAAAATTTACTCTTTTCTTATTTTTTCGGGTTCACCAAATCTATTCTCCCGTGCAAACACCGCCTTACAACTCCATCATAGGTCATTTTGGTATCCATCAACAATTTTAGGGTCACACACACACACACACACGCACACCAAAACTTCGTAGGAACTGAGAAAGACACTCCCTACTGAACTTCATAACAGCGAACTTGCAAATTCTGATCATTATTTAGCAATTTTAACAAGAAGATGACAATAGATAAAAAGATGCTTTGTACACAAGGTAAAGTCAAGCCACACACTGCCTACATTCACATCGATCTTTCATAGCGCTTCAGCATCAAACCATTTCAACAAAATTTGTTAGAGGACATGATAACTAGCCAAACGTTGCAATGAGAAACCCCTTGTAGATGCTCATGAACTTCGCTACAAAGGCTGCAGAGGAAATGAAGAAATGAAAATGAGATAAACAATGGTAGTTCAAACACACAGACATACTTGCAACAAGCACTACCATCAGCAAATACGTCCAGTTAAATTCCATACAATGCAATATCAATGAACGCAAACCTCTACAGCAGAACATAATAAAGCAACTTAGACTACCATTTAGCATTTCACTCTAGGATAAATTATGACACTTCTAAAAAGTAATACAGCTTACGCGGAGAAGGAAACAAATGGAGAGAAGACAGACATGCACAGAATCATTGATTGTGTTCTTTTGCTCAATCCAAATCAAATTTTGCAATAACTTAGCAATATAACAAGTATCAAAATTAATGGATTTCTTATGGCTCACAATTAGAAGCAGGTTAGATTTTAATATAATGCACCCCTGGAAACCAAAATATACACATCCAAGAGTAGCACAAAAATAGCATCACAGGAAAATTTGTGATAAGACGGCTTCAAGTATTATCGGAAGTACCTTCAAGATGAAATATAGACTTCTGCCCAAGGCGCATCCTATGCTCCTGAAGGGTAAAACATTGAATGAATAGTCAGAACTACCCTGCCAGGTCTCAAAAGTAATAAAAGAAAAAACCAGGCAGACAAGTGTCTGATTGATTGAAACCAAAACTCATAATATGTCTAAAACATCAATATCTCGTTAAAAGTCAAGACATAGAAGAGTAGCACATACATAGTGGCTCAGAAGGTTGTATAACAAAGACACTGAGTAGCTCATGCTTGTGTCATCAGATAAATGAATAAGGTGTTCGATGACCAGAAATCATCTGTTTGTCAAAACAATGTTCATTTGCAATGCCACACAAAGGTTCAACCAGGTAACTACCGTCGGATATAAACAAACAATTTCCAGAAATATGGACTGTGAATAGTGAGCTCAGGATGATTATGGGAAAGAACAAGGAAAGCAGAATAAAGAAAAAAAACAATATTAAAATTAAACAGTTCTAAAATGTGGATCAACATCAGAAAGAACAAGGAACAAACATTGAAAAGAGTTTATCTCATACACTACAAAATATCCATGATAGGACCCATTACTTAAGCAAGAATGGGAACTGAGAAACTGACTCAGACCCCTATAGCATTAGACAAAACAGAATACAAACCAAGTCAGCTGAGGTATGCATAAAATACTTACATAGTATGCAGCCCAATAAGATACTTCATGTTTTAGCTCAGAGTCCAATTTCTTTAATAGCTCATAAAGGAGCCTCTGAAATCAAATCATATTTACAAATAAGTTAAAAACTCAAACTTAAAAAATGTAGTTGTCATCTGGAAAAAAACTCCAACTTAAAAAATGTAGATGTCATCTGGAGAAGGGAGACCTTTAATATTATCTCGGCTGGGATGCAATTGGTGAGAAGCTCATACAGCTTCCCACGAACCTGGAACAATCTGCACGATTAATGCCAACTCAGTAAAGCACAATCTGGACTAGACAAACACTTTTAAGCTACTCCCTTTAACTTTCTTATTTCAAATAAATGGACCAAAAACCAGCAATGCTATGCATAACAAAGCAGCCAAACAATACAGAGATACTTTACCATGGTCTCATATCTTTGCTCTAGAGAGGAAGGATGAAAATCAAAGCAAGCAAAATGATCTATGTTGCCCGTGATGTCATTAGTAATTTAACTTCTAACAAAAGTGGTCTTAGCCAAGCTAAGAACATCATGGAAACTTTTTACACACCAAAAGACATACAAGACTTGTAATATTTTCAGGAAAAAACGACCGAATCTCAATTTACTATCCTTTGCCAGCAGCAGTTTTTTAGCTTTGGTACACATTTACACTACCTTCTTCGGATTCATTCATAACTAACTTAACTTTGCTTTAAAAGGGAAAACCAAAAACATAACAACCATTGAGAGGGTTCAAATGGGTTAATAACAGATTCAACAGTTCAAAAGTGGCAAAGGGTATGCAAACACGCATAATCTTCAAAATTTGCTTAAGTGAAAATAACTCCTAATCCACTCACAATGTTCTAAGTCACAACTGGAGCATAAATCAGCGGAACTAAGTCTTATGTGAAGATTTAATTTCAGATCACAAGAACCCAAATACCTAATAATCGGAAAGGAACCATGATATTATCAGGAAAAGAACACTACATCATTCGCATTTGCAAGTCCTGCTAGAGCAAGTATTTAAAACCAGAGTTCATATTTTGCGCAGGCAATTCTATCAGTTGTTAAGAGTTCACAAGTCACAGAGAGCAAGAACTTAATGGGTTCAATGCATGATATTAAGTATGTCAAACTTAAACCCTTTCAACACTAGTCAAAAACAGGAGCTGCTTCAGTGCTACCTATGGGCTTCTAATCCCTCAGACAGACAATGACTCACACAAGGAAATATAGTAACATTTGTGCATCCAGACTTGTCTATACCACTCACCAATATGCATGAACATGCTCTGTAGGAGACCCAATAATCCTCTTTTCAGCCATACTTGTTGGCGAAAAGATAAAAGAGTATAACTCCAATCTCCAAGAGCACCTTTCTGGAGAGTATAAAAGAGTATAACTCCAATCTCCAAGAGCACCTTTCTGGAGAATCTAAACAGAAATGCCTCAACTTTAATGTGTTGGAAATTAAAGTTATCAACATGGGCTACTGACAAATCGGCGACTAGACCAACTTTGACCCTTGAAAGAAAGAGATAGTTGTATGTTTCCAGATTCCCTTTCAATATACCAAGAGGATGACAGGTGAAAGTCATCAATGGTAAATCCATTCTGAAAACACCCTATGGTTGCTGTGACATTTTACAAAACTAATACAACTTAAAATTTTCTAGAGTAATGACATTCATGCAGAGCAGTGTGACACGACCTTGGTCCTCCAAAGCCTCGCAGCTCCTGTTCATGAATGCAGTTCTACAACTGATTTGAGGAAGCTATAAAGATGAGTGTATTTATGGTACGTTCTCGACGGATTTTTACAAATCAGCACATATGCAGGTCTGAACTTTACTTTTTTCCTTCAAGGGAAAATCTTCTGGGCACATGTTTCCCTTACAATCTCTTCCTCTTCTCTTCTCCTTGTATGTTTGCCCTGCTTCTTGGCCATTCATATTTAGCTTCGTCAACCTATTGTGTTTCACCTCTATATTTTTTAAAGTTATCTTAGACTCTTTGTGGCCTAAACACAAAATTCACGATATATACAGAGACATTTTTTCGTCAAGCCGTATTTCTGTTTTTAATGTATTGATCTTAATATCCCATTTAAAATGATCAAGATGCATTAACCAAAATTCAAACACTTGAGAAGGACACCAGAAAACGAGTTAACAATATTATACGCTCATCAAAGAGTTTAAACAAACCTTTTGGGGCTTTGCTCTTTCATTATGTCTGAAGCTATTTCCATCACATACTCTTCCCAATCCATTGCGGGTATTGCTTGGTTACTCGAAAAAGGATACCTTAGGTAATCCAGAGTAAGATAACTTAGTCATAATCCAACTCGATATTGTTTAGGAACAGTTGATCAAATCTTCAATGAAAGTTTTCTATGTTAGCCAGGGATGTTTTGGAGCTTACTGTTGGACACGGCAAGTCTCAAATAATAATATTGCTCTCCTCAAACTCCTGTTTGACTTTTCAGCTAAGCGGAGAGCAAATCCAGCAGGGAGGTTCAAACCTTCTTTCTTTCCAATGAATTCCAATACCTTGACAATCTATCACCAGAAAGAAGGAGAGGGAGAGAGAGGATTAACTACGATTAAGGTAACTCACAAAGTCTTCAAAATCACGAAGTCATGAAACCTGTAAAAAATTAGATTCATTGACCATTTATAACAAGTAACATAGATCACCAACTCTATTTGGCAACATAGAATCACCAAATATTTCAGGGGGGCAGTAGTTTAAAAGAAATTTACACAATGCTAATTATGTTTACAAAAAGAACTAGTCTACGCAGGCCAAAATAAGGATGCCAGAGATGTTTCTCAGTGAAGATTTCAGCAATATACACCTGATTTTGTGTAGAATATTCAGAGCTCTCTTTGGGTGGGGAAGAGATGCGACTGGGAAAAAAGTGGGGATCTAAATTTTTCTAGAATGTTCCTTTAACTTTTTTATGCTTGCAACAGATAAAAAAAATCTGCATGGTCAATCAATATTGGTGTCAACTGCCTCCTAACTACATACAATCATAAAACTTGGTCAACATGCAAGACTAAAACAAACTCCATATTTTGTGGTGTATCATTTTTCCAGTAGAAGAATTCCATATTAGACGATTTGAGCTACATAAAGAAGTGTCACACTTCAAAACATGATTCACATGATAAAAGTCACCTTTCGTAGATCTTCATCACTGCGAATGCAATTGAATCAAATTATGAAACTAGTCAAAGAATTAGAATGCACAATCATTCCCTATTCGGGAGATGTTTACCCATAGAAAAATCAAGGAGGAAACCTAGAACAATTTCAATGATTAACTAAGACAAACCAACCATACTAACCTCATTATCAGTTGGTGCACTTATTCGCACATTGAGACAGCGAGAGCGTACAGCTTCAGTGACTTTTGAAGAACTATTGCAGCACAGAATAAGATGACAAGATGCACTATACTTCTCCATCGTTCTTCGCAGAGAGTGCTGAGCTTCCCGGGAGAGTTTATCCACCTCATTAAGCACCAATACTGAACAATCAATAGTACAAAGAAAGAAAATTTAAAAGTTGATTTAAAAAAAAACACAAAGAAACAAAAGACAAACTGATAGTAAGCAACAGGATACATGACCATCTTTTCATCTTTTCATGACCAAGCACCATAAAACCCCAAAACAAAACTAAGAGATCACAAATACAATCAGAAAAGTATTTGGCACAATGAGCAAGCTTCCACCTTCTTAATCAACATCAAGCAATGCATAAAGATTTCGACTCCAGCACTCATCCATAGCCGAAAACCATATTTAAGTACGCTACACATCCAAGCTGGAAATACAGAAGGTTTCTTTGTTTGATAAGACAGGAGATAATTGGACGTTGCAGAGGAGCAAAAACAGACAAGGCATCAATTACGATAATTGCTTCTAGATAACTGGAGTCAAAACCCTTCACTGAGGCCAAATATAAAAGTTTCATTTATCTTGGTCTTCTGTTGTGTTACTGCTGCATTCAGTAAAAACCGTACTGTCACTGGGAGTCTTCCGATCATATTGATGAACTGACACTAATTTGTAGAAAAAGATATTTCAAAATGGAACACCAATGAAAAAGAAAACTGAATTCTCCAGCTGTTTTGTTAGATAAGTTCGATTTTTTTTTTTTTTTGATTTCTGTACCTTGGGAGGCCAAGGACAATAATTAAGAATCAAAGTGACTAAGTTCCAGGTTCCAGGAACATTGCAAAACAATCCTCACTATATGCAATTTTACATATAACTTCTTATTCCTAAATATAAAAAATTCCCATAAATTGACCCCAACCAACAAATGGAAGGGCTTCCTTACAGAAGTTATAACCTTTACCTTCCATATTTTGTCATGGCCAGTCTGATAAATCCTCAAAAAGTATATATACGGCCTAACCATTCTTAAGGCGATGCGAAAACACAACTATTCATGTGTTTAAAGATTATCAGAGCTGACGTGAACATCATAATTACAGAAGCTTAGACAACTTTTTTACCTTTAAAACCTTTCTTTCCTTTGGTATCAATGGGCCTATTCTTTGCCATTTCTTTAATTACTTCTTGAACAACGTATCTGTCCTGAAATCCAGCATCAGCGGGATTCATTTCCACATGGTGAGAGCTTGCAAGTGTTGTCAGCTCAACATCAATATTCCGAGTGCCAGCCTGAAGATTGAAATCCATTAAAGTTGAAGCATATCAGACGAGTCTCCAAGACAGTAAATCTGAATGGCTAAATAATAAACAGAAAGCGTTTGTTCTTGGCAAAATCTTTTACTGTAGACAATATTGGTTGATAACGGCCAACTTCTGCATATAAACTCTCCATGAGACGTTATAAAGGAGGGAAACTCAAAAGAAATCTTTTCATAGGACAATTTCTCATGAATTAGATAATTCTTATTGCTGATAGCTAATCACAAAGAGATAAATAACCAACAAACTACACCTCAGTGAACACAACCATCGTTGGAATAGAAAGCTTTTCACATTCACCTGATAGAGAGCTTAATTTTATCATTATGAATGCCATTTTACCCTTACAGTGACTGTAAAGCATAAATTATATGGAGATGACACAGCTCATTAGAACTTCTCCACCAACCAGAAAATGATATGATTACCAACAAACATATGGAATCTTTAAAGTCTTCAAAGAATTTCAACAAAATAACTCATAGTAATAATTGAGTTTTTTAAATTTTAAATTTTCGGATAAATTTCATTCCACAGACATGTCTCATTGTATTACAGAAACACCACAGAGAGAATAAGGCAAACTTTTTCTCTCTAACACACAGAGAGACAAAGAATTCATGAGAATTGGATTGAAACTTACATCAACCTTCCAAGTCTGATTTTCTACCTTCACCTGTAGACAGCAAACACAGTAAAAATCAGTTCCCTAAAAAAAATAACAAATTCCAACGACAACAAGGCAAATTAGCAAAACTAAAAAAAAATTGAGGAAAAAAAGAACCTTATCAGCGCTAGGTCCAAACATCTCACGAAGAAGAGCCATGATTAGGGTTTTTTTCCCAGACCCGGATGGCCCATGAAAGAGTAAATGCGGGCAATCTTGCTCAGCAGCCTGTGGATTCAGAAAACCCAATCAAACCAGAATCGTGATATTTGATGTTTGCAAGCTAGATTATTGAAAAGAAAGAAAACCCAAAAGGAAATCGAGTGAAACAATGTCGGAAAAAACTTACCAGCTTTTTGAGATTCTGGGCAACTTCTTCATGGACGATCACTCTGTCAAGGGTTTTAGGACGGTACTTATCGACCCACAACATTGTTCTTTCAGATGAGAGTGAAAAACACACAGTCGCCGAGTGAAGTTGCAGAGAGCCGAGTACGAGAGGGAAGGACAAAGCCAAAGTGGCGGGAATTAAGAAAGGGCAAACCTGTGAGGGAGTTCTTCTTTTCTAGTCCTTGGGAAAGGTAAGATAAAAAGCAGGGGTAATACACAAAAACCCCCTCCTGCTTTTTTAAACCGTATAAACCCCCCCATGGTTTAAAAAATACATGAGAACCCCCTTATAATTTTCCTAAATATGTAAAATGGATGGAATATAATAGAATTGACAGACTTCTAACGGAACCTTTTGAAATTACGTACCTACCCTCAAATAAATATTTAGTTAAATTTGATTAAAAAAAAATCAGTTTCGCTACTGTCCCGACACCGCCGTTGGCACCACCACCACCCTCACCATCTTCATTTTTCATCACAACTCATTCAGGTCATTTTTAATCCCTCCATTACTAGCACCAAAATAATTGTTTCTTTATCCACTGAAAATTGGAGATGCAAAAACACCAATAACAAGAACAATGTATAAAAGAATCAGAACCATAAATACGTTTGAAACCTTAATTCCTTATTCAAACCCGAAATAAAACATTTATTGTACAATCGTAACGTAACATGTCAAATCTAAACACCAAAATAAAATCTTTTTTAGTTACCGCCATCAACAAAAAATTTTTAAAAAATCAAACGGAAAAATTGAGGAGACTCGATGACTTCGGCAGTAAGAACTCAAGTGACGGTGAACGACTTGGGATGAGAGACTGAAGAATGAGGAGGAAAAGAAAAAAAGATCAATAGAGAGAATACGAAGGTGTGAAATGGGGAGAGGAAAGCAGGGGGTACTTTTGGGAAAAAAAAAATCTTAGTTGAATTTAACTACTATTTTACTCCCAAATAGATGTGCGTGAGTACAATCTCTGTTAGGATGAGCATATTCCATCCATTCTATACATTTAGAAAAAAACATGAGGGGGTTATCATGTGCTTTCTAAATCAGGGGGGTCTTTGTGTGGGATCAAAAATCACGAGGGAGTTCTTGTACATTACCCCTAAAAAGTAGGGTGCTTCGACCAAAAAATTCTATAAAGAAATGCGGACAAAAAAGTATTTTTACTATTTTTTGTAAACAAATGTATTTCAGTCGGATTTGCGAAATTCTCTTAGTATTCTAATAAAAATTAAATTCTCGGGTTTCTAACATCTAAATCCCTTTTAATAATAAAATAATTGCATTTTTTAATTTTTTTAACCTGATTCTTTTTGTGCGAAGAGGAAAAATTTCCATCATTACTAAAGAGATCCATGACCCCTTGAGTTAAGCAAACGGCAAAGAAGTGGACACTCCAGATTCAGGGGATCGGATTTCCTTGGGTACAGCCTGTGGTTCCTCCGCTACTGATTCCGGACCCAGAGGATACTGATGAAACAAAGGCGGAAATTCAAAGGTGTCTGCAAGAACCCCGAGATTGGAACTTCTTCTTGACCAATCTAGCTTGAGACTTCTACAAGCAGAATAGGAAGAGCACAGCCATCCTGGATCGAAGGCTAATCAATCACGGCAATCCCTCCACCTACATTAGAGACAAGGGCTGGAAAGGGTTGTGCAATCTCGCAATCCATCCACGTGTCTTGCTTGTAACAGAGTTCTACGCCAATTTTGCAGGGGTACAAGGAGAAAGGTGATACATCTTTGTTTGAGGCTTCATGGTGGAAGTTAGCGCAGAAGCCATCAGGGAGGCGCTAGGATTGCCTAAAGTAAGCGATTGCAACATGATGTCTCTAATTTACCCATGAGAGTGGATATCCGGGACTCCATCAAGAGGCTTCTGTGCAATAATCACAAAACCTTTAAGTGGACCCCTGATAAAAATGGAGATCCCAAGAATTTCTCTGCCAAGTATCTCAAAGATCAATACATGGGATGGTTCAACTTCGTGTGCACGAACATCAAACCCACCTAGTCCCGCCAATTTGTCACTTTTGACAGAGCACTATTGGTTTACGCCATAGTAAATGACATTGCCATTGATATCGCTCCGATCATTCGCGAGCAGATTGAAGCTTGTGTCACCAGCCAGAAGCAGAAGTATTGGTTTTTCCCGATTCTCATCACTATGTTGATGAATCGGTCCGGAGTACACTTTGGACCAAGAGACAAAAAGACGGAACTTCCCTTACCATGGCATCTAATACCACCGCCATTGCTGCCACCACTTTCAGGATTACCATACCTGGAAGCTCAGGGAAGTCACTAGTTCCTTTTCCTCTTTTCTTCTTCTTTTTAGTTTTTGATCTTTTCTCTTTTTGTTTATTTGTGTGTCACTTCTCTTCATCTCCTTCTCTATTTTTTTTTTAGTTAGCATTGGGGACAATGCTATTTTAAAACTAGCATTGTCTCCACTCAACCCTCTATTTTAATTATTAATTTATGCAAATAAATACTCTACAAGGCAGATATTAGTTGAATGGAGCTCAAGAAAAGGAGATTACTTTGTCACCAAGCATTGGCATAAGGAGGAAGCTTCTTTTTTTGCGAATATCTCCTTAGTAATAGGAGTTTTTAATTTCTTTTCACACTTAGATCTAATGTAATAGGTCTATGGAAGAGTCTAGGTTCGTTTTCTTGGTCATAAAGAAAACTAGGAGTCAAAGAGTCCAATTTGACTTCGAATAGAATTAGGGAAAGTGTCTTATTTCTTCTCTTGAAAATTCGGCCAACCACTCCTATAAAAGGGAGGGTCGCACCTCGAGTTCTATGTACTGAGTTGAATTGATTTTGTGAGGTTTAACCTTTATGAGTTTTTGTTCTTGTGTAGAGCAAATTGTTTGGTTGTTGCTTTGAGTAGTGACGATCGTTAAGACTTATCTTTCTTGTGTGGTTCGCTGGAAAGTGGCATCTATAGCAACGTAGTCTTTTGTTTTTGATACTTAAGGGTTATAGATCAATATCTATTATCTCTTCTTGTAAGATTTCAAAAGGGGCCTTGCTGGAATTCAATAGTTCCACTCATCGGATTGAGTTGGGTTGTTGATTCTCTTGAACTCGTGAATTGGTCCACGTGAGATCAAATATCATCCGTTTTTGCGTCTCTGATATTCAAGTAAATATTTGAGTTTGTCATCATTCCGCTGCATATTCTGTCCAATTCAATATTCAAAGTTGATACTTGTTTAATCATTGGTTTTGTTCTTGAGTTGCAATCATATTTTTGGTATTAGAGCCATTTTTGGTGTATACCGCCGTGGTTCATCGTATTGTGAGTCTTTCTTTTTATTTTGATTTTTTTTTCGGATTTCTCTCTCCCAAAGAGTTGTTCACCACTTGGACAATTCATTTTTTGTGTTCTTCATACTTATCTTACAAGATTCAAGTTGTTCATCATCACTTGGTCCATTATTTGGGTTGATTGGTGTTGATCTTGGTGGTTTGAATTGATTGGTGTGAAGTTGTTGTTGTTGTTGGTGTCGCGGCTGCTGTCTAAAGAAAAAGAGGGCGCGGAATAAAACCCTAACCCTAGCGCCCGTCGCCTTGGTAGAAAAAAAAAAACAGAAAAGAAAAAGAGAGAAGAAAATTCTGAAAAGAGAAAAGAAAAAGGAAAGAAAGAAAAGGAAAGTATCTTTATTTGAGAAATATTAGAAGAAAAGAAAATATATTTATTTGGTGGTAGGAAACTTACCTTGATTAGATTTATTCTTTTCACACATAAAATGATAATTTTCAAATTGTCTTCCTACACTTAAATTTTCGGCCATATAACCGAATATATATATTAGGAGACTTAAGGAGTAAGTAATCTTTATTACTTAAGGATTAAGTGATATGCTTATATGTAACCTATTTATTATATCCCTAATTTGTGATTTTTGCAATATATTTTGAGTACAAATATACTATTTATATGATTTTATCTTTATTTGTAGGTTTTGTACTCAAATAGAAGAATTGTTGAGGTTTTGGACTAAATTGAAAAGAAAGAGCAACTAAAAAGAGCCTAAATGAAGATTATAAGAACTAATGAGGAAGAAATCGCAAGAATTTTAATCCCAATTTTAATTGGGAAATAAGTTTTCTTATTCCTGAAGAAATAGGATTTGACGAAAGCTTATAAAAGGAGGATTATGTTTTTATTTTTGAGAGAGACCAAAACCTCCACCACCTTGCTTCCTTGCCAAACTTCCGCCGCTCCATCTTCCTGCACATCACCACACATCATCATCAACAAACCTCTCTCCATGCAGCACCTCAACTAATCATCACCTTAATCATCATCATCAACTCTACACTGCCGAATTTCCAAACCCACGCAGCCACACACCTCCACCCACCAAAACCAGAACCCACGCCCAAAACCCATCAAAACAACCTTTCAACTCCATGCCACCAGCACCATCATCATCCTCACGCATCATCAAAGGAGCAGCAACGCATCAACTTCGAACTCAATTTTTGGCCTACTTCTCCCGGGTTTCATTGTTTTATTTATTTTTGAGATGATGTGTAACTAAATTATTTAATCTAGGGTTTTGGATGTAGCCGCCGTACCATTTAATTTAATTTAATTTATGATTGTGACTTTTTCATTAGTTGATATTTAATATTCTTGTTTTTATTCCATGTGAGTATTTGATCACTACTTGCATGCTTTAAAGGTGTTTAACTGAAGGAACGACGGTTGAAGGTTAACATTAGTTCATGGGAATATTAAACTTAGGTAGTGAGCCACGACAGTAGGTACACCGCCTTTGCAGCTAGAGATTCTAAAGTTCTTAATGTGCTTTTATTAATCCCTATAGTCACGACAGTAGTCATAGAGTTAGTTTGAGTAAGAGAATTATATCACGACGGTGAATAGTTCTTAAATAGGTGAATCAATGTGCTTTTATTCCATGTGAGTATTTGATCACTACTTGCATGCTTTAAAGGTGTTTAACTGAAGGAACGACGGTTGAAGGTTAACATTAGTTCATGGGAATATTAAACTTAGGTAGTGAGCCACGACAGTAGGAACACCGCCTTTGCAGCTAGAGATTCTAAAGTTCTTAATGTGCTTTTATTAATCCCTATAGTCACGACAGTAGTCATAGAGTTAGTTTGAGTAAGAGAATTATATCACGACGGTGAATAGTTCTTAAATAGGTGAATCATTGTGAGATTAATGGAAGTCCAAAGTCACATATCTATAAGTTAAGTTAAACTGAGTAGACGGTAAGTGAACCCTTTGCCCTAGGTTTTCTTTTATTTGTGTAAAATCTTAAATTAATTGTAATTGTTAGTTTTAGGTTTAGATTAGTTTAAATTGATAAATTGTTAATCTAAATAATAATAAGAAATAATTTAACCGGTACTTGGTAACCTTCTCTGTGGGATCGACCCTGCTTTCTGCTTTACTACTAGTTATTGTATTAAGTAGGTAATTAATTATTTGACTAGTGTGACGACGGCTTGTCATTAAGATAAGTATTTACATAGTAAGGACCTCGATTTTTTATCTTTAAAATTCTATATACAAGAACTTTAACTCACTACAAGAAAACAGACAAACACCCACGGATGTTCAGTGGGTAATTTTGCCTTGGCGGCCTTGGGTAACCGAAATCACCCACGGCTCACTAGACGTGGCTATATGGTCTATGGGTAATCGTTACCCATGGAATTTTGATCTCAGTGGGAATATTATCCACGGTATATTCTGTGGGTGGCCGTGGGAAAGAATTCTGAAAAAAACAATCCAAATCCCATTAATTTATCACGGATTAACTCTAATTTTTAACCGTGGATAAAAAAAATTGTGATTATACTGCTGTGGGTAAGCCGTGGGTACCATTTCTCTGTGGGTATTATATGGGAAATTTTCACCTTTATCATTAAATGAAATTCATGGGTAGCCGTGGGTAATTTACTTTTTTCGAATATATATATATATATGTATATATATATAATATACACATTTAATCCTTCACTACTGTTCCCTAAACCTCTTTAATCATAACAAAAGAATACATTCAAAATCTAAAAAATTTCATTATAATGTTCACAATTCAATGAAAATTAGATCCAAAACATATTCTCAAAATATCTAAGTAGCCAAACAACAAAATCAAGATACTATGAACAATTCTCACTAATTACGAAAACTTACATGGATTTTACTAAAGTTCTAATACTTCAACTCCGAAGCTAGTTTTCTTGCCCAGTAAGATGGCCTGACTTAGGGTTGAGCACAATGCAGCAAATACAATTCATTCGGCTTTGACAGTTTGGGCTGCCAACACAATTTTTTACGTTCAGGCTCATCTTTAGAGGCCAACTTTCGTTTCAACAGGAATGATTCAGCAATTTCCTCATCATCTTCAGTAGATTTGTCCAAGTTTTCTCTTGGAGGAGGATTGAACTCATCATCGTCATCATAATCAACAAGTCCACAAGTCCTTAACAATACATGAAAAGTCAAAAACACACCCCAGCAACTGAACTACAATGTGGTAACTGTCAATATTGAAGTAACTGTACCTCATAGATGGGTAGTTTGAAGCAGAAGCAAGCAAAACCGTTAGGCAGCACTTGTATAGATGTAAATACGACTCCTTGACATCCTCCTCATTTACGCCAAGCTTTGTTATCATATACTCTTCAAAAAGACACAGTAAGAGTGCCAAATTTAATGTTTCATATAGATAAAAGAAAAGGGCTTCGGAAAGGGTTAACTTTGGGGAAAAAGATGAACTCAGATCTGTTACTAGTAATGTTCTTCGTTACTTCCGTAGATACAAAGTGTGTCGTCAACATCTGAAGATTCCAACATACAAACATTACGCATAAGACAAGAGTGTCCTTTATTAGTCCTTGGCATGGGTGTTGATGTTGAATCTTCTTCATCACTGTTCCAAATTCAAAACTGTTAGAACGTTATTTACTAAGACAAAGTTATAAGTAACATTCTCTAAATGCAACATTTCAAACAAACTTGCAAACATGTTATCGTCGAAATAATCTTCCTCCTCTTTTTTCAAGGGCATGTTCATCTATCCATTTTCTAGGGTCTGACACGTTAACATTGCTTCTTAACCCACCACTCTCATGATGAGATAAGACGGAATTCCCCACATGCAGAATTCTATTTGTATCTGTTTGTATCTCTAGAATTCCCCACCTTCTAGAGAGATGTAATCTGTTTGTATCCACCTTTAGCAAACAAATTGAAGGCAAAAGGTCAAAATTGACCAATTGTTCCCAGTAAGATTTTATCAAATATTTCAATATAATCTTCAGATTTACCTGCACACAACACATATAAGTAGTAAAGAAATGATTTAAGGTTACAGTTCTTAATAGACAAATATATTTTCAGCAAAGATAAACCCATGCCAATCTCATCCAATTTGAAGACAGAGATGCTGAGAACATTTCAGATTTCATCAGCCAGGGTCACCCACTCAATTCTTTCCTTAGCCACTGAGAAGCAAGAACAGCAGAGTTCAACAGATTCTATCAACTTCTATTATCCACAAAAGAAAGGACAACCAGCCTCAAAGGTCATTTTCCACAATGTGATTCACCAGTTGCTCATCCTGAAACACAAAAAGGTTCATTCTATAATGAGGCAAGAATGGACAATAGCGGAAAAGAAATATTAAATGCATTAAGAAAAGAACTCAAGAATCTGCTACCAAACAAATGTCAATCTAAGGAGCTTACTATGCAAAACCACTTCTAGTATTCTTGAGAAATTTCTTCCAGAAACCACATTGCCCTACTTTTGTAACATTGTAAGGAACAGATGTTATAAAGAAAGAGAAGAGAAGAAAAAAAGCGTATATATCACCACCATAAAAAAGTACCCTCTTCAAAATCAATCTTATTACTACAAAAACAGAAACAAAATCTTGGAAAAATAGTATCCAAAGTATAAGTAGTGAATATCTTGATCTGGTAAGATTTACAACTTACATTGCACAAAACAAGAGTTCTAATAAACCTAACAACAACAACAAGATACTTTTCTCTCCGCCAAGAGTTCTTATTAGTATTTCTGGCCTGACACTACTATCGTGAAAAAAAAAGAAGAGAACAAATTCAGAACAAGAACCCCACAGACTAAACCAATGAGTGGTCCAAATTTAGCAAAAATAACAGAACTTCATCAACTGTAATTGCACAATTTATATGGCAGAAGAACCCCACAGACTAAACCAATAAACTTCATCAACCAACCAACAAAACAACAAAACAACCAACAAAACAACCTGGGTATTCTATGGGTAGGGTAAATACCCACAGAATACCCACGGCCAAAAAAATCCGTGGGTTTTCGACCATTTTCTTGTAATGACTCTCTTGGATTTGTCTATCTTACGTGCTAAATTATTATCCGTGCTATAAAATTGCTCTTCAAGTGGGTTTGCAAGTTAAGTTGATTCTCTTTTGCTCATTGTGTGTGACCTTGAACGATTGCGCTTGAGCCGGAACTTGAACTACAAAAGATTGAGAGGAAAAAGGCTAGACTGTATACTATATTACTTTGGGGAAAAGCCATAACGCCCAGAAATTGAGAGAGTAGAAATAGTTGGTGAGTGTCATCTATTGGGGGGAATATTGTGTTAGGGGAAGTGAGGTAGGAATTTGTTCTAATAAATTTTTGCAAGATGTCTCAAACGTTCGAGCAAGACAATGAAGAGTTAGAAGAGACACCCGCAGAAAAAGCTATGCGAGAGGCTGTCATTACTCTAATGGAGAAGGTTAAAGAGATGTCCTTTCAAATGAAGGAGTTAAAAACTGAAATACGGACGCCTGAAAGAAGAAACCGCAATCATGAAGAAGGACGTGACGAGAATAAAATCCATCAACGAGCGAGAGGTGGAAACCCTAATAATCCACATGATTTTGGAAACATGAAGATCAAGATACCTGAGTTTCAAGGTACTAATGACCCTGAGGCGTATCTTGCATGGGAGAAAAGGATCGAACGAGCATTTTCATTTGCAAAACTATGATGATTCAAAGAAGATCCATGTTGCTGCTTCTGAGTTTTACAACTATGCCTCCGAATGGTGGGATAAGGTTGTGAAAGATAGAAAGTTATATGATGAAGACCCTATTACTATATGGGACGAGATGAAAAGACTCATGTGGAAAAGGTTCGTACCTTCTTATGATTATTATCGTGAATTGTGTAAACAGATTCAAGTATTTACGCAAGGGAACAAGACCGTAGATGAGTACTATCAAGCATTAGAGACCGCATTGGCACGTGCAAACGTTAGAGAAGATCCTGAAGCCACCATGGCTAGATTTCTTGGAGGTCTCAATCGAAATATTGTTGATGTAGTTGAGTTGTCACACTATCTTGATATCACTGAGATGTAACATAAGGCGAGAATAGTGGAGAGACAATTGTCAAAGAAGAGTACCTCAACATGTTCAACTGTGTAGAAGAAGGAAGATGTAAAGAAGATGTCCACACCTACAAAGACCAAGAAAGGAGGTAACTCTTTTATACCCAAAACATCTTCTAGTACTAACTCTGTTTCTAAACCTTCTGGAGATTACAAGGCTTCAAGTAGTACAAGTAAGTCCCCTACTATTAGCTTCAAATGTGGAGTAAAAGGAAATTATTCTCGAGATTGCCTTGGAGTAAAGGCAATGATGATTAAAGATGAAGAAGTCGAAGATCATGAGACTGAGGAGGAAGAGGAGGAGAGAATGCGTCAACTTGTGTTTGATGAAGAAGAAGATGATGAGGTAGAGATAAGGGCCAAAGATGGACATGTGTTTGTTAATTTTCGAGCATTGTCAACTCAAGTTGCAGAGGAGTTATAACAAAGGAACAATATATTTCATATGAAGTGTCGCGTAAAGGACAAGGTATGCTTAATTATCATTGATCCTGGATCGTGTACTAATGCTAGTTCCTATCTTGTTGAAAACTTGAAGTTGCCTACGATTAAACATCCTACACCATATCAATTGCAATGGTTACGTAATTGTAGTGATCTGAAAGTCACTAGACAAGTGAGTATTCCATTTACAATTGGAAAATATGAAGATGAAGTTATGTGTGATGTGGTGCCAATGGAAGCAAGTCATTTATTGTTGGGACGACCATGGGAGTATGATCGCAAAGCCAAGCATGATGGATTTACGAATAAGTATTCCTTTGTAATAGATAGCAAGCGTTATACTTTATCACCTCTTTCTCTTTTACAAATTCAAGAATGTAATCTACAAATGTATAAAGAAAGAGAAAAGAAGCGAACAGGTTCCAAATAAGCTGAATATTCAACTTCTAAAGTTGAAAAGAAGGTTTCAAAGAGAAATCAAAAGCGAGGCAAGATTGGCAAGAATTTTTTTGCCAGTAAGATGGTAGAGAAGTGTTATGCAGAAGGCAAAGGTGTGTATTTACTTTTATTTAATGAGAAGACTTCTGTGCTAACCGAATCTATTAGTAATTTTGATAAGAATCATGTACCCTTTCATGGTGATTCTCCTAGTGAGGGGAATGAGCTAGTCCTTCATTCTAGTTTTGGAATTCTAAGTTTACTTTACAGAGCAATCAAGGAAGAAAGGATGGATCTTGACTACCTATGTGATAGCGAGTTGGTTCAAGAGAGCTATGATCAAGGTGATTAGAATGTCATTAACTTTGGGGTTCAAACCAAAGGAGATGATTCACTCATGGAAATAAGTGCTCAAGAGTATCAAAGGAGTTTGACTCTAGGTGCTCCATGAAGATCATTGATCAAACTAGAGAAAAGAATCATTTAGGTTTATGAATGGACGGCCTATTTGATCAAAGTGTTCAAGATTGAGTCCATTGCTACACAATTGGATAGGTTCCAAACTATCCCAATTGTTTCAAGTGTTTTTCCAATCTTTTGGAGTCAATAAAGAGAATTCTACAATTTTTGGGGTATATTGGAGTTTTCTACAACTTGAGGGGCGCAAGACCAATATTCCACTTTTGGAAGGGCGTTCAAGACATTTTACTTCAATATTTGGAGCTGATTTTCGAGATTAGAGTTTGTCTAAGTCTAGGAGTTTAATTTTTGAATTTTATCTAGTTAAATAAATCATGTGGACTGAATTAAACTAGAGTGTTTTGATTAGGAGTCTTAGATTCCTTCTAAGTATTATCCTATTTGAGGATAAATCATTTAGATAAAGCTAGATTTTAGATAGAGTCAAAGAGATCAAATACCCTTCTACTTCTACTCCTACGTGAGATAAGTTTAGAGAGTCCTAGTTGGTCTTCTTTTTTGGTGCTAGCCGAAATTCATAGCCTATAAATAGGGTAGGATGGCCGAAAATTAAAGCACCCTTGAGTGGTCATTTTGAGTCTTCTCTACTGAGATTTTTTCCTGTAAGGAATTTTTGTTAAATGGAGTGTCCATTTTTTGTGTCAAGTATGATTTAACCAAGAGGGTTTTCATCTTGTCTTGGATCTTTTGATCTTGCAGAAACCGTTCTTTTTCAAGTATGCTTCTTGATAGAATTGTTTTAAAACTAAACTTCTTATTTTCATACTACTTCTAGTAGTTCGATTGATGAGCCTTTCTTTTGGCTTGGTTTTCGAATTCATGATGTGTGTGTTCATGAGTTCCATTGTGGGGTTTGTCCTACTTTTGTTGGATGAGTTGTGCCTTGGCATAAGCATTTTAAGATAGTATATGTGTTGCATATTTTTGTTGGTTATGGAGATTACTAATCAATAGTATTCCTTCATATTTGAGCATTGTTTGCTCCTACCTTTCTCGAGTCTCTTGAATGATGACTGATCGAGTCATTTGAATGGTGTCCTTACTATTCTTAGTGTGGGTTGTTGTTTAATTCGAATCTTTCATAGATAATGTGTTCTTTGCTTGGTTTGAGTTAAGAGATAGAAATCCTTAGATAAACGATCGTCTTACTGTGAATTTTCCGCACTCTTTTGAGTTTCACGGGATACACAAATTATCTTCGTACTTTCTTGTTTGATGGTTTCATTAACGAAATTTGCTTCATCTACGAGATTGCTATCAGTTTCTGGTATCGGAGCTTGAACTATCTAAGTGATGGTATTAATTGATATTATCATATCAGTTTCTATTATCAGTTTGATTTTCGAGAGATTTCTTTTTGATTGAGAACTTTATAGTTCTTGGTTTTAAGAATATGTTGAGTTACCACGGAATCCGTTTCTTGGTGTGGTAATCGAGCTTTGTGCTACTAACGAGTAGTACTATCTTTATGTTTCAAGGTTCCTTCTTGTTGCAGAATGGGTTTTGAAAAAATAAATCAAATTCTTGTGAAAACTACGTTTTCAAAATTGATCTTGTCTTTTGTGCGGTTGTGCAAGACTTCTTACACATTTGTTTGATCTTGTGGTGTTATTTTGGGGTCTATGCGAGAGCTTGATGATGGTACATTGGTATCTAGTCAAAGTGAGGCGCTACATCTTGAAATTTATCCTTGATTTGCAAGTAGAAAACTGTTTCTCCTATGAGCAAGTTAGTGGATCTTATGTGTTGAATCTTTGAGAGAATTGATGCCAAAGAAGAGCTTCTTGCTCGGGATAGCCTTTTATTTCTAAAGAGATGTCTTTACATGAGGAGGGTTTAAGAGTTTATCTTGTGGTAAATATCTTGGATCTATTCTTTGAAAGGTGAAACTTAGTGATTTTGTACTTTCTACATAAAGTATAAATGAAAAAGCCTTCCTTCTTGTTGGTTCTCATTTGAATCTAATGAGTAAAATGGAATTTATGGATTTTCAGTCAATGAGAATTTCATAGAGTTCGCTCCTTTTGATTGTTTTGTTTTTGTTTAAATCTTAGTGTCAAAAGATTTTCAAAAGTAACAAATTTTGGTTTCTTTGTTTTTCTCGAGTTTATACTTTGAGAATGAGTCGAATTAGTGGATCTTCCTATCAAATGACTTTCCATGATTCTTAACTTGAGTTTCAAAACTTTCTTTGTCATTTGATGAGGAATGAATTTTAGTGATATCAATTTTGGTATCAAATGTTTAAAGGTCTTTGAAGTTGAATTGTGCCAACTTTAAGGGTTGAAGTCTTTGACTTGTGTTTAAAACCTCAATTTTCAAAAGTTGAATCGAGAATTGAGTGAAGTTTTACTAAAGATTTTCTTATATATAACAAGAAATCTTATAGGCTTTGAGATATGTTCTTGAAGTTTACATATTTGGTCTTTGAAAAATTTGATTTTCAAATGGTCACTTATGAAGATGGATTTGTTGAGTCATTGAGTCTTATGAATGGTTTGTGTTAAATTGAGTATTATGAAGCAAACGTCATAGTTGAATGAGGAACTTTAAATTCCAACTTCATTATACTTATGGTGTTCTTGTTACTTTATTTGCTATAGATTGTTTTGGTAAAAAGTAATTTTTGTTAATTCCATATACAATTTTTAGATGATGATATGCTTGAGGATCTTTATGGTGCAACAATATTTTCTAAGATTGATTTGAAATCTGGTTACCATCAAATTAGAGTTAAACAAGAAAACGAGTGGAAAACTGCATTCAAAACTAAGTTTGGATTGTATGAGTGGTTAGTAATGCCTTTTGGATTAACTAATGCACCTAGTACTTTCATGAGGTTAATGAATAATGTTTTGAGGCATTATATTGGAAAGTTCGTGATAGTGTACTGTGATGATATCTTAGTGTACTGTAAGTAGGGGTGTTCACGGACCGGATTGGTCCGGTTTGCCATCAATCCATAACCAAACCGTTATATACGATTTTGAAATTTTTGAGACTGTAACCAAACTAGATTACATATGAAACCAGACCAATCCAAACCGCATTGAACTGTTTGATTTGGACAATTTGATGGTTTGGGCCTATTATTGGGCTTTTTTATTTCCAGGCAACAAATCAGGCTTTTTATGTTATTGGGCCTTTCGCTGGCGCTTTTTTTTTTTGGGCTATTCAGAGGCAAATAACAATCAGAATAATATTGAGCCTCTTTTAAATTTAAATCCATGAAAATTAAAGGTGTCCAAATGAATAAAATCCAATTCAAAAATCCTACAACAAGATCATAAATCATGGCCTTGTTTGGACATCAACTCATTTTACATGTTCACTCATTTTACCTCTTAAACACAGAACCTAATGAAAAAGAAAACATCATCCAAATAACCTTCTGATTTACATTCTAAATTCCAACTTGAAATACTTTTTGTTAGTGTGATGACCATTTTTCAGTGATAAATTTGGCAGAATTCCGTTGTTGAGTAATTATTTTTGGAAAAGTTCTTTTTTGCAGTGACTATAATTGACAGTATTTAATTGTTTAGTTATGACTTGTACTTGATATTTCAATATGTAGTTCAAAATACTTTTTTTTCAAAACCAACATCCAAACAACATTTTTATTTCCCATTTAGTTTTCAATTTGAAACACTTTCCACTTTTAAGTGACAAAATGAAATGTAAGTTGACGTCCAAACAACCGCAAAAAAAAAAAAAAAGAACTCAAATTGTCCAAAAACATCATAACATATGCACAAAATAATCATGATTCAAGGTCCAGCAAAACCATGATCCATCAGCTGCTATGAATGACTTGATCCTCTTGGAACGGGTACAAATGCAAGTTCGACAAGATCATTACTTCTTGGAATTTTTCATGGCACGAAAGCATTAAGTTTCTTAATCTCGTAATGTATTGAAGTTCAACAATTAAAACATGCAACAAGGCTTAAGTAGACAAAAAATTAACACTACAAAAGGCACTAGTTCTCTTCCACCGAAGGCCAATAACAATCAACTAAGATTACCTATGAAATCTTACAAGGCAAAGCATCCTCTCTATTATTTATTCCAAGTCTGCAACCTATTTAAAAACCAGCCAAGTAGCTAACCAAATATAGTTACCAAAAAAAAAAACAAATTAAAAAAAAACAGAATTAAACAAGATAAGATAACCAACAAAGAATTTTACCAACTCATGCTATCATTTAATATTGTCTGTGCATATGTTTAGGCTTGCAAAATCTGAAATAAAAGTTGAGTCATTTTTTGTTAGAATCAATAATGAGACATGCAACAAGGCACAAACAATAAAAGACCCACCAAGTTAATTGCCCAACGTGAAAAGCAAAACAAACTTAATACTCCAGTAAGACTTGAGCATGAAAAATATACACAAAAGAACCGTAAAACATGCTAATCGAACCCCTCAAAATACTTAATCAAATCTGAATTTTTCATAATTCTTCCTATGCGTATAATTTCTAGTATCATAATTCAGAGGTATTCCATGTTTCTGGACATCACAAACATGCTTTTCTTTTTTAAAAATACAATCTTTTCTTTTCAATTCAAACTTATGCATTCCCAACTATGTGGTTCATATCTAATAAATCGATAAAGGTAATAAGAAAAACAAACACAAAATATCACTCATTTATTCAAGATACAAATGGATCTAAACCAGTAAAGCATAGCCGGAGGGTGGACTAGCAAAATCAAAAGCCCGGATGGTGGAGAAATTTGGAGTGATGGGGTTCTTCTCGGTTGGGACGTGCAGCGATGGGTTTGGGAGGAGCAGCGGTGGCCGATAGTGGCGGATTTAGGAGGAGCAACGGTGGCCAATTGTGGTGGATTTAGGAGGAGCAGTGGACATCGGTGGCCGA